TACAACTAGTTACGATTAATCACTACGATCATTATATAACAAAACAAAACGCAGTTAATATAGCATTTCGTAAAAAATTTTAAAAATTATTGTTCAAATTTCCAGCATCCCGCGATTCGTGAAAACTTTTTACACGACAAGACTGTACAGCTAGTACTAATTATGCTATTGGCAATGCTTTTTTCTTCTCTTCCGACTATTTCCGAAATTTTATATTTTTTTGATTAAAGCAGACGTAAATTTCTAGTTATAACTAAAACACGCATATATGAATATAAATTAGTTTAGATTCTGATGAAATTTCCTTTGGTGAGAAATATTAATATTTAATTAGACATTTTTCAATTTATGGTAACAAAAGATAAATCACGATTTATGAATAGTAGCCAGGAGTCTTCAATATGAATATATTATACAAATTCGCATATATATGAATATTCCAATTTTCCATACCCCCCAGAATTACGTTTTCAATAACAGCTGCATGGCCAAGCGTTTATTAAACGTTACATATTATATGTGCAGTATTTGCACAACACTGTATATTTTTGAGGATTTAATAACTTTTATAAACATTCCTATATATCGAAAACCAGTATTTTTAATCTTCCCAGTTTTAACCCTCTTTCGAGACAAGTACTTATATTTTCATACTTACTTTCATACATCTACAAAAAGATTGCTAACAAAACGAAATTCTTTCTCTCTATTCTTTGGAAAACACAGAGGATTGCAGTTGCGTACTCTTTATATATATTTCTCGCAACTCTCACGCTTCCGCTGCTTCCTCATTCTTTTTCTCGCGGAATTTTTCTCTCCAAGAAAAAGATCCAAAAGAAGGGAAGAGCATTGCGATTAAAAAGTATCGCGTACGGAAGCGCCCCCGTCACAAGATCTCTGATGTCCGCGGTTACCTTTGAGTCATAACGACGTAATTTCTATTCATGATCCGTCTAATGAAAATATAATCGCGTCGGCTATATATTTGCATCAGCGCGAGTGCCGCTTTATACCGGATCCGCTGCTTCTCCATTTCGTTACATGGAAAAGTATATATGGGTTAAGGGGTAGATATAGCGCTTGACGTTATGAACTACGCGCTTGCTTTATGTGCAGAGAATGTATGTAGTGCGAGAAATGCGACAAGATATGTGTCGCAACTTATTAATGGATCAATGAATCGTACTCCATCCCACGATAAATAAACTGAAAGACAGCATGTATACTTTTGTGATCGTGCTGTGCATTCAAAATTGCTAGTAATAAAAATGATATAAAATAGTTGTAAGTCTATTCTCAAACATTCGCTTTAAGCCGAATATTCTTACATATTCTCTCATTAACAAATTTAATATTTTATTATAGTGAAATTGCTTTAAAATATAATTAAAGATTTTTTAGATAAAACACTAATACCTTTTTGTTGAAATAAAATAATTACACAAAGTTTGATAATTGAAAATAACATAATTATTAAAATATTTATCCTGTTTTGAAACAAATTAGATATTATTTCTTTTCTTACAGTTGTCGGACACGAGGATACAATCTTCATATTTGTTAAAGTATCATTAGGATACTTTAACTATGATACTGAATTATTCCTGATAAAAGCGATTGTAATTCTTCTTAGTCATATCAGCGCGAATATCGTCAGAGTATAGAAAAATAATTCAATTCTGATGATGAAAAGGAATGGTGTTGCAGACTTAACAGATTAACGCGCTAGTAACGAGTTTTAAATTGCAATCGCGCGACAGTCCCACGTTTAGATCGCGATCGCGATCGCGCTTCGCGGACACTTTGTCATGTGTTTGTCCTTCTCGCATGGAGATTGGCGAAACGTGAAATTATTGTTCGATAACATTTACTCCGGCTATTCGAGGAGCGTCAACAACGCGATAGAAAGAAAAACGTAGGGGAAAAAAGTGGGTCGTGCGTATAATCGCGATTTGCAGCGGTTATAGTACTCGGTGCGGTGGGCGGATGTACTCCGTTGATGCGGAAAACCAGATGGAATTGGTAAAACAGCGTGTTCGATTTCTCACGGGCGCGATGACGATTCGAAGTGTCGCGCAGACTTTCGCGGAGCCACTTTGTCAATCCGTTATCGCGCGAATCGAATCCATGATAATGGAGCATCGACGTAAACGGATCAAACGAAGGTAATCCGGGATCGGCCGGTCGCTTGCGGAACCGTTCGACTTAAATTCGACGGTTTCTCTCGTCGCTTCGCAGAACGAAACTTTTGCGAGAACGTTTCGCTCTCTATTAACATGATTTCGTCGAGGACTCTCCGGTGAGAAGGAGTTTGATATCGTTCTTCGTTCTTCGTTCTTCGATACACGAACGCAAGATCGCACTTAATCTTTTAAGACCAGCCGCACGAACGCGAACGGTCTGAACGCGACGCGTTCACAATTCCGTCGATGCGGAACAAAGCGGTCGCGATAATGGAGCATCCATGTAAACCGATCGGCTTTCGATATAATCGGGCTTGCGTTGAGAAGCATCCAAAGCTTCGAATATTCGCCGCCTCTGGACCGCGGAGACGCACGAGGTAAATAGGAACTTTTTTGCGACAGCATCTCGTTTGATCATGCTGTAATTGCGCGTGCAAATTACAAGCGGCTGCGTGTAGAGAGCGTGTTTAAAGTTGCCCGAGGCAAATATTATTTTCGCCGGTAAACAGCGAAGAGCTATGCAACAATGCAACAGTGCAACAATGCGGCGTTTGTTGTCGTTTGTTGTGTGGATCAAAATATAAATACTAAATTGCGCGCTAAACCGATTTTGAAATTCGCGAAGCCACGGACGGCTACACTACCATAAACAGTTGTTTTATTCGCGAATAAAAAAATTTTGCTCGTCACGCTGTTCAGATCTACCTTTGGAGATACATAATTTTCGCTGACCTGAACATTTCCTCGGAAATAGTGATTGTCACAACATCGTCACAACAATGAAATTAAAAAACAATTGAAATTAGGGGAAAACTCCAAGCAGCAATTTTGTTATTATTATATACAGAACTTTAAAATATGCTTCTATTTGAAAGAAGATTGTTAATATCCACTCTCTTTTATACAATATGTTTTTCCACAGGTTTTTATCGCCAATATTTAAAACTTTGATTTTAGTTAAATCTATTTAAACAATTTTATAAATGATCACATATTTAAATATGGTTATATTCAAATAAATGTTCGAATAAATTTTTGTATACATGTCAAATTTTTTTTTTAATATTTGCCATATGTATGTGACTGTACTATCTAGCGGAATATTTTCCGCGCTTTTGCCATGTATATGCGATACAGATGGTCGATTGTCCGACATTTTCGAAACGCTCGCTAATCCAGCGGGCGATAATGGAGCACCAATGTAAACGGATCAGCCGACGATAATCCGCGGCCGATCCGATTCGTACACAGAAGAACTTCGACTAGTACGATCGTCGGAATGTGGGCCAGCTTCGGCCATGAAACACAGTTCGATAACGGCGCGCGCCATGATCTACACCAGGTCCGGTGCTATCGCCGTGAGACAACTCGTTTATCATAGCACAACTACAGCTCTCCAGTTAGCGAACGAAAAATATAAAGAAATTGCGCATTCTTTTCTATTCTCCTAGCCATCATATCTCTGGAATTCTGTGATCTTTCATCGATGAAAATTGCATGTATCGTTACATTATGCAATTATTGTGTACATTAACAAAAGATATTCGCTACTTATTTCGTTATAATAATTATTTATATCGAGTTAGTCGAACGGAAAGAAGTGATAAATAATAATAAATAATAAATATTTTAATTAGTCAATTTGCAATCTGAATTTTGGAGGGAAAATCGTCTGGATCCTGTTTATGTGAGAATTAACATGGTTAAAATAAAGATTAACATATTTCGCGAATTTCAATATTAATCTTTCTCCAATTATACGGTAACTTTTTAGTATCGTAAATCATACGGCATATTGTGTATGTAAATTCTTGGAGAATTAACATAACAATGCAAGTATGATGCAACGGTGTAAGTAAATTATTCGTAAATTAATTCATGTTACACGCTCTTTCACGGAAAATTCTACTGATTTTTCCTACAACAATGTAAATGCGAAACTAATTGATTATCGTAAATTTAATATCAATTTCACAACTTTTTAAATACACGTTCAATTTTCGTCGAGGCATCAAACGAGAATCTTTGCTAAAAGGTGATAACAGAAGCGTAGGTCAGAATCATCACAAAGGGCAATCCGATAACGTATGGCGCGATCGAGAATAGTTCTGTTCAAAGTGGTCTGACCATTGTTATCGCGACGAAACATCCCGTTTTCCCTAAGGGATTCGCCCCCCCCCTCCCTTTGATGGCCATCGGGTTTGCAAAGCGGAAGCAATAAGAACTTCTATTCTCTTCCTATCGCCACTCCCATCCATTTTCTTTCTCGCTTACAAAAGCCATGTACAGTTAGGGAAACTTTTTTGCTTGAAATACAAATTACTGGCCACCACTTTATAACGAGAAACAATAACAAACACCTTTAAAAGCGTAAATGCGGGATCAATTTACGCCATATAATATTTATGTGGACATTCATAATCGAAAATTACCGCATTTATTTCTTTATGTAAACAGTATTACGCGCAAAATATATTTTCTGTTCAATTTTATAATGTTAGAGCATTAATTGTATAATTAATTATTCGTAATTGTGGCCAAAGCAAACAAAAACGAGCTAATAAAATCATTTAATAATAATACAATCAAAACTTATATAATATAAACGTGAAAGATATTTGTATTTCTAAATAGCCTAACGTTATAATAAGAAACGTTTGATAATTATTTTTCGTAGAATAATACAAGTAACGATCGAGTACTTTTAACAAAAAGTTTTACTTAAAGAAAATTGCCACTCGCCGAGTCGCGAATTGAAGCGGTGCAACGCGAACGAATAAAATCGCCACGGCATTTACGGTGAATCGCGGAAGAATGTTAGCCATTGGAGACCGTTGTTCGTTCTGAGATCCACAAAAGTATCCCGGCCGATACAATAGCCAGAATATGTGACGGGATCGACATGAAGCACAGTCCCACCACATACGCGGTGATCCAGGCCAAATCCAACGCTATCGCATCGAGACAGCCTGTTTTCCACATGCTCCTCCTATCGTCTTCATCGAGGCTAAAGCATGAAAGACATATTCGACGAGAAGATCTTGAAGAAAATGTGACAGGATATAATAATATATAGCAATGCAAATAAATAATATCTTAAAAGCAGATAGATACAATATCTACTTTTACAACATCTAACAATGATTTGTGAGATTATTCGAATCTGCTTATACAAATTGCTGCCTTTCTGATTTTGCAACCGTTTTCCGGTGATCTTCTGATTATTATTCGAGATTATAAGACGCCTCCTACTACTTTGTCCCGTTTCCTCGTCCACAGAAGGATAGAGGCAACGGGATTACGAAGAGAATCGACGGGGGCGTCTGTTGTTAGTTCCCTCACAGTGCCACTAATAAGATGCGAGGCTTTAACGCTTAAAGGGTGACGACATCGTAGCGTCGATTAATAAACGTCGTTCCTCTTATGTATCGCGTGTCCTGCGCTTATCAACAGCTATAATGTTGCAACGTCCTAATATATCCCACCCGACTTGCCTTTCGTGCAACGCGTTGTCGTGCAATCGTTTTATTTCCTTGCAAAAAAAAAGCGAATTTAAATTACGATGCCCCCTCGCTGTAATTATCAGGCTAGGGGAGATCGAGAGAAAATGTGGCGGTGCGCGTTTGATGTTCCGGTTGTAAGGCGAGGATGAAGAGCTTTATCTGAGAAATTCAATTTTCTAGCGGAAAAGCTGCTTGTCCTCCCGCACAACCCCCACTTCCGGCCGCGATAGCCGTTGTACATTCTCGGGGGCAAGCGAAGATTTATTCGCGAAATTCGAAATGATGAGGAATTCTCAAGAAAATGTGGCTGGAAGTGTAGGTCCACGGCAAAACACGTTGCCCAGAATCTCGGTACCTTTTCTCGTTTATGGTGCATTAAGGCAGAATCTCTTGAAAGAACCGACTGCCTATTTTACTTCGCAACTTATTTCATTGTTAATGGTACATTTAACGGTTCGTTAATGAGTTGAGAACGTGCGCTAATGACAAGTAAAATAATGGAGCTATAAAAAAGTTTTAATACACGCGAGTGATTTTTTTTTTCTTTTGGCGCATTGTCGACGGGATTGAAACGCATCTTTCCATACATCTTCAGTCAACGTAATTTTGCAGTATTACAAAATAATTTTAAATGACTATTTACTATCTAAAATAATTAACAAGTATATAGTTTGTCATAGGCAATTTTTATAAATTATTAAAAAATCAATTTATCTTATTTATCTTTTTTTACGCTGTTAAATAAAGTTTTACTCTTGCAGGAAGTAAGACAATCTTATTTGATAATATTCAAAAAATGAAATACTAAAACTACCTGTGCGTCACGAAACTACTACTATAGAAAAATAATATAAACGTTTTCGAATTTTCTTCAAATATTTTCTCTGCGTCACGTACGTCCAATTATAGAAAAAAAAATCGAAGAGAGTCTTTCTATATACGTCTCGTGATCCCCTCTTAAGATTAGAAGAGGAATACTTTTCTCCAGGAAGATACGAAAGGTGTTTAACGGAGGCGAAGGTATAGAAGAAGAAGGGCAAAATACACTCGCGCGCACAAAGATATCCTGCGATAAAAGCTATTGAGGCGATACGTATCAAAAATCGAGAAATATATACTGTCGGGGTTAAAGGGCAATCGTAACGTTGAAATATCTTCCGAGGCAATAATGCCGCAGTTACATCGGCTTGGAAAATCCACTGTTACGCTCTCAGAAAAATGCGATCAGGTCGACCTTGCAAAATATAATATTTCAATCCAACAGTTGACCCATTTGCGATCTCCCTTCTCTGTTTTGAGAAAAATAATAGTTGTATGCTCTTTTCGACTGTTGACATGAAATCTTCCATACGATCCCCTTGATACAGAGAGCATGTATTCGACTAAATATATTTATAAATACAGCTAACTATAAGGGATATATAAAAAATTGAAAATATTAATATTAATATTACCTTATCTTAATTTTCAATCAACGAGCTGCAATAACTCGATGAGCTATAAATTTTGTTATTTAATAAAACATGAAGTTTACGTAATTATTAAAGAACAAGATTTCATTATTCCACTTCAGCACTTAAAATTTAAATTACAGAAGGTTTTTTAATGCTTTCTATCATATATCATTAACGTAAAGTTATGACAAAAAGGAATTAGCTCTAAAAAGAACGCTGTCGCCCTGGCAAAAATCTCATTGAACCGCGCAACGTCCGTCCAGGTGCGGCACGTCCCGTTTCACGTCTTTCAAGCCGCCAGGCGTTTCCATTATCGGCGTGCAAGACGTCGCCGCTTTTCCACATTCCCGTCGCGTTAATCGCCCCATTGTTCGCGACGTCAGCGGTCGGTGTAGTCGGTAGTCTTCTGTAAGCCTGCCGAGGAAAACCCGCGCGCACACACATATACGCGCAACTCTAAGCTTTCGCACACACACTCGGCTAAGTATGCGCTAACGGTCCACGTGTACCGACGTATCGTCGTACGTGAACGTGCACGTGAATATCGAGAACATCAGTACGGGCGGCGTCTCCTTAAGGCGCCTTTGTATATTCATCCTCGCGCTACGTGTGACACGCGAGCGGACCTCCCACAGCAGCTTAAAGGGGAATTACGGGGCTGGGGTGCAAGGAGAAACTGGGAGACGAGAGGGCGAGAGAGCCAAAGGGAAAGGGAACGACGACGAAACCGTTCATGTACACGCGCTCAAGAGACGTGGTTGTACTTCCGGACCGGTACTATACTAGAGGCGGTGAATTTCTCTCGCCGGGCGTCGCTTCATCCCCGGCCATTTCGCCGAGGCGAAAACTTCGAGAAGAGTATCAGCACGCGACGCAGCGACGTCGTTGCGGCGACTTTTCGCCGCGTTTCAGGATTTACGAAGCTGCCTCGTTTCTCACGAGCGACCACGAAAGAGAGTGCTATATATAGAATGTTGCAGAATTCCGGAAATTAATTTTGTTGGCAAATTCTATAACAAGTTTGCAGTAGATCTTTATTTAGAAAAAATTTTCAAGGAGACTGTTACTTTTGCTTATCATATTTTATATTACGCATCTCATTATTATTATTTGAAAGTATTACAATATTTACCCTTATCTTTACAAAAAATGCACGATGTTTATTTGAATTATCGTCTCACAAGCGTATAAATTGCAAAGATATTGATATTTTTCGAACAATTATTACCAATAGAAAGACCCGACAACGTTATTTCTGATAATGGAAGATAATATTTTCGAGCAAAAATCGAATGCCAAAGAATAAAATTTTCGAATAAAACTGTGAAATGTGGAAGAATTGCTGAGAGTAATAATGGTTGTACCAACAATGTATATTGCGATTGTCGTATTTCCTAGCCAATTATCGACATGTGTAGCATGTTGCTATTCTTACTGGTACAATATGTATTCAGTCGCGCATAATGTATTTATTGGTGTACGCATGCCCGTATTATAACCCGTTTTATAGCCTGTTGGTAATATTACGTATTAGTATTGTAACATTGTGCGAATTTATTCCAATAAATTGAATCCACTTAATCATAAATTTACTAGATATATTTACAAGTTAATTCATCAATTATAATTAAACTTTCAAAGTATCACATAGCACCTACAACAGATTGATTTTACTGTATCGTACGAATGGAATTGTTACTCAACATGAGATAAATTTGCAAATGGTCGGGATGGTTTTGCAACGCGCGTATTTATTCCCCTGGCAATTGCATACAAATATTTAAGCAACGTTTTTGGCGTTGCTTTAACGCGTTTTAGCGTGGCAGCAACGACATTACGAACGATCTAATTTTTCGCGTGCATTAGCAGCAGCACGCAAGAGATATTGCGCGTTTTATCTACTCTAGAAAAATTATAAACCATACACGTTAACGCATTACGTAAACGCGAAATGCAACTAAAATTCTGATTACGAGGTTATTAGCCTTGAGGAATCAACACTTGAGAAATATATTCGTGGGAAAGAGTATACACTAAACAATAAGATAACAATAATTCAAGCAAGTCGCTAATGTTCCGCGCGAACGGGAGAGGCCCACGGTAGATGATCGCATATTAAGTAAAAACTTCGGGACAAAGGACGCGGTGATTTCTTTGAACGAAAATTAAAAGTGCTAATGGGATTATCTATCGGACTGAAAGTTTTAATATAACACCGCGATGTCGGACTGTGGTCGCGACCCCGTGAGCTTGTGCATTTCACGGCAGAGTGAGTAGCGAAAAGTTCATCTCGGGAGAAGTATCAACGCGCTGCACGTTATGGCAGTCCGGCAGCTGTGCTCATCACTATCCTCGCGCTCGCATCAGGTCACCTGTCGGCAAGAATAAAATATCCCGAGTAGAAAAATCTGTAATTCTTTCGCGGCTTCTTTGCGGACACTGCAGCGTGGAATGCACGTAATGTGTGGTCGCAATCGCACGTCAATATAAACGCGGTACTTCGCCTCGATGCACAAGCATTCGCGGAATTCGTAGGTTTACTAAATTTTCATTATCAGAAGCATCACAAAAGCACCATGAGTTATTGACTCTTTCCTTTTCTGCGCGATTATCCTATTTTTGCGATTTGATCGAACGTATATGAAAATATTTTACGACGTTACTGTAGAAATAAAAATATTCTCGCTTCTAAAAAGTTAAATATTTACATTGCTGTATAAACTCGTTCTTTTGATACGCCGATATGAACAAAACGAAAATTTATTGAAATGTTTATAAAGCGACACGCGAATATGGCTATAACAATTATAACAGCAGATACAGTACGCATCGATTGAAACTGTCATTCGTTTATCACAGGTAAATCATTTTACGCGCGAATTGAAACATCGTAATGTAATGTGGTATAACGCATATCACATAAATATCATATCAGCATTGCAGTCACGCTCACGCATCGGCGACGGTAAAAAAGCCAACGCTGAGTCGCCCGGATTTCCCTCGCGACGGATGTGCACGGGCACCAATAAAAAAATACAAGAGGCCACGTGTATACGTTGCGAGAGGCGCACAAACAGTGCGAGAGGAAACGGACGGGAGAGATACACGGACTAGATATTTTCAGGAGGGCGCGAGTCACGCGAGAACACCTCGTGATAAATTCGCTCGTAGCGGCGCGCTTTCCAATGCTCCTCGCCTACGAAAGCGGGGCTTAACTTTCAAATCAATTCCGGCATCGACGAGATGCCACCTGACCTGATGCGCTTACTCATTGTTCTCGTGAGAAGAATCGCGACGCATAATGTATGACTGTTGCATCGCGGATATAAAAGTGTCGGCGTTACGTTGCGTTGCGTTGCGACAGGACGTAACCGCGTCTATAGAAAAACGTGCTTCGGACTTGATGGCGATCGCTCTTCTTTCTTTTTGTTTCTTTCTTTTACCACCTTTCTCTCTTTCTCTCCCCTTCCCTCTCTCTCTCTTTCTCTCTCACCATTCTTCCTCCCTGCCAACGTGGGTCATATGCATAAGCGACGTTGCGTGACGTTTTGCCGGCGAGAGTGCAGCATCGATCTCCTCGGCCGGCCTGTTTGCACCCTCGTTTGTCCGCCGGACATCGCATATGCGCATATGCACGGATACGTGTGCACACTCTTTGTGTACGACAGATAAAAATAATTTTCCTTGCTCACGGCCTCGTTGAAACTCGCATAAGTACCCGTAGGAATTATTAATAGAGAAAAGAAGCGTCGGCGTTGTGTGCAGCGTATACGAACGTTTCCGATCGCCGTACAGTGCAATTTAGTTCGGATGCAACTTAATCTTCGCGACAAGGGCTAATACCTATACGTTAATAGCTGCTTTCTCGCGTCCGTTAGACAGACACTGGTACGAGACGTTTACTTTGCCGTGATCGATGGCTAGCTGCCTGAACGAGAAATCAGTTTTAGTCGGGACAAAAGAGAACGGACTCAGATTTGACGACAACGGAAATACGCGTTCGAATAAACCAGCGCGTGAATAGTTTCTCGTTCAAAGAAATATTAACGTTATAATTAAAATTATTTCAATTAATGAATTTAATTTTCCGGCAGTTTATCTAAGAATTGTTGATGTAAAGGAAAACCTGTCGCTTCAAGAACCTAAATAAGAACTTTTAGCAAATGCAAAAGAAAAGTTATTTTGCGTCCCTTGTGTACATATTGGAGTTAGAACAGATTTTAAACAGAAATAAATTCGGACTCGCGCTAAAATAAAAAATGGATGAAATTAAATTAAATTAAAAACAACTACATTTCTGTGAGAAAACTTTATCTATAAAAAAGACGTAACTTTAAAAGAGAATGGGAAGAAAATAAAAACATGTACTAAAAATTGTAAAAAAAAATGTTTCACTCGTTCACTGATTACATTGCAAAAAATTCTAAAATTTTATTGAAAATGTTTAGTTACATATAGATACTAGAGCTTTGCAATATTAATCTTATACTAAAAAGACTTATATTTTACGTAAAATAAAAAATTAATTAGTGTAATGGAAAATATCCCTTCTTTCCGCAATATATTATAAGGGCTTGATGTCATAATTAATTGTCTTTACTGATTGGAACACCACTATTAATAAATCACTTACAATTAAGTAAAAAGCAAGAACATTTTTAGTTTTAATTTATGGAACTATTATGTTAATCTAATGTTAAGCATGATAAATTATTTAAATCATTTTCAAATTAATTTGTTTTCATTAAGTATATATAAAAATGTTTTATCTACTGACGCGTACAGGTTTCACTTATCAAAAATTTATCTATCAAGTGCATTTTTGATATTTCTTTTTCCTGCCAATATTTCTTTATAAATATTATATAAAATACACCACGGCGAAAAATGCAAAACAGACGTATATTGCTTTGAATGAAAAATGTATGTGTATAAAGAAACGCAGAATGGCACATGGGAGAATAGTGGATTTTCCATTTTCATGAAAAATATGTATAATGGCAAAAGTATGGCACAGACGTGGTTTCGCTGATGTCGCTCTTTAATTTTGACTTTTTATTATTCTCTCCAACATTTAGCACGGTTGCAACTTCTGGTAACTTCGAGTTATAAAAACAATCGGTCGATATAATATGAGAATAAAGAATTATTAATGTTCCTTGCCAGATTGCACAACGCGTTGCTCGAAGACGATAAGCATCCGATTATATTCCGCTCGTAATTTAGGCGAAAAGTATCTTTTTTTTAGTGTCGACGACGAACTCGTAAATTTCATATCGCAAAAACCGCACCAGCAGCTGGTGACACTCTTCGTAACGTATCGTAATGCTCGTCATTGATTTATCCGGCGACTTGTTTCCGCTATATTGAAATGAAGGATGAAATGCCGCTATCAGTGATCAAAAGAATATACGGTCGGAATAATCAAGATCCTGTGTCGATTATTAACGCGTTAAATACGCACTGCGTATATCTTGCGGGCGACAAATCCGACATGACGTAATCAGATATAATTTGTACAACGCGCGCAATTCGCCTCGCATTAAAATGAGAATCAATATTTAAACTAATTTATGGCTGTACGCGCGGTTTGTCAAGCGTAGGACCAAACGCGGTTTGTTAAGCATACAACATCGCGTTCGACGAAGGGACACGTGTACGTGCATTGTCGTCGGTCTCCATGAAAGGCCTTCGACGTCATTATCATAATAGGCCGTGCCTCCCTTTCGAATGAGAATAATGATCGCGCGGTAAATGACTCCAAATATACGTCCGGTAAAGTACACGTAATCGCGTTATAATACGAGCTGTCGTATTGATAAAGCGATCTCTTCTCCCTTTATGCTGTCCGTTGATAGGTAACGCTGAGCGTTTTGAAAACTCGAAAATGCGCGAAAAGTGGTATAACAGACGTCTGTTACACGCTACGGACGACACGAACTTTCCCCTACCAGTTTCCTACAGCAAAATATACTGCGTTCTCGTGACAGCTGCGGAAATTCAACGCAGCTCGTAGTGTGTCACTTTTCAATTACGACGGACAAGTATATATTTCTACTGATACCTTTAAATAGGCATAATTCCATCACCGGATCGCGCTAAATATATAGGTAACTGAAGGCTTATCGAACTTGATTCGCGATGTCGAATATCAGGCGGGAGATTTTACGCGATAAAAAGTATCGGCAGACGTCAATTTCTGAGGAGTGCGAATTCTATCGTGCGGTTTAAAAGTTTGATCATACGTTTAATACATCGTCAATTCTGATTTCAAGTACGGCGGAAAGAAAATCAATCGTAAGATGCGGGACGAATTTGTTCCCCTTTAACGAAAGTTTATTGTTTGTCTTTGTATCTCTATATGCATCCTGGCTTTTATTTCATCAATAAAGATGAGTCTTAAAAAGAATCTTAAAGATGATACAAAACACTTTGACACATAAATCTTTGTGATACTGAACAATATCTCTCCAGAGTCTACGAAGTCTTAAAGAAACTTGCTCATCAGACTGGTAAGATATATCGGATCATCTGCAAGCCGCTCTCGCGTTTTGGCGAGCAACATGATCCGCCTAAAAGCAACGATGCATACGTAGCGCCCTCGTACCCGAAAAGCCGAGTGGGGATCGATTAAGTGGCACCGGGAGAGTTTCTTTAAAGAGAAACCAGGACGCGCGCCGCTTAGCGGGCTTGTTGGATTCTCATCTCGGACGAATCCTCGAGGCAACTCTCGGTACTAAATCTGAAACTTGCGTTACCGCTGGCCGTCTCGTGCACTCAGAGGTGTTTCTAGGGTGTTGTACGAACCTCGTGGAATAGCAGGACGGAGGGGGCTCGGGCAAACCAGGATATCTGGTCCAGTCGCTCGCATCGTTAATTCCGCAACACTGCAGGCGTGTCTGTCGATACGCGACAAACGATTTCATTACAACTCGCACGCTACGCTATATATACGTATAAGAGACAGATTAATTACGGATCAAGATACTCGAAATAAAAGTGATGCAACCGCATATATTGGATTTCCTCTCGCGCATATTGGAAAAGGTATTTAATATTGGAGACGGATATTATATATATGATAATGTCAATCTATTAAAATTATTTAAATGTCATTATAAAGCAGCATTTATATAGTATTGCGACAGTATCTCCGGAAATATGTGTCCGGAAATAATGTTTTTTTACGCTTTGAGCGACACAAAGTCAGAAAAAATTCAACAAAAGTACTCATTAAATTGACACTGCGATTTACTTTCATCTCCAAACAATCAATCTTTTTCTAATATAACAAATATTTCATAAAAAATGTTTTAAAATTTTATTTACGAATTAAAATTATAATTGTATTGGACTGCATTGTATAATCGTTAGAGCGCTTGGAATCTTTGATAAAGCAAAAGCCGAATCTAGCATCGTCTAACTGGCATTTTCGAGATAAAATGAGTAAAGGTAAAAGTAAAGAGAGAAATGCCTTTAAAGCTATATGCTTAAGGTGTTGAGAAGCTTGCATGAAATTCTTTATGCTTTGCATTTAACAAGAATCTTTTGCATAAATTATAGTATACTAATAATCTAAAATGTTATCAATTTTGTAGACAACAAAAATTATTTTTTATTAAAGCAGGATTTATAAAATATAATAATAATAATAATAATAATAATAATTAAATTCTCGTGTTAAAATTAAAATTAAAAAATTGAAAAAAAATCTTTATATTTTGTTATTACAAATTTTAAAATATAATGAAATATCTTTGTAAAATATATTTGGAAATATTGTTTATAAAAACATTTTCTACCGCAAAAAATCATTTACGTTATATATCTATCTGTATAGTATAAAAATAAAAGGAATGAAATCAATAGGGTGACCAAATGAATTTTGTTACCGTAATTCTTCAAATTGGTCGAGAAATTGCATGAGACTTCGGAATTAACGCGGCAGGAGATTCATGCCGACAAGATGCACGCCACGAAACCGAAAGTCACCGGTAAACAGAGTTTACGAAGCGCGCAATTAGCGTAAATTGAAAAACACCGTTATCCGGTAGGTCGATACCGAGGGTGCAGACCAGATTCACAACGGCAGACTGCCAGGAAGCTTGTTGACTACTACCCGAGCGTCCGTAACGGTCCGATATTTACTACGGATTAATTTGTCGATAAATGTTTTCACGGCGCGGCGCCGTCACGGTCGGTCCCGGAATTCGCAAAGTTCGCGTCGCGAGGGTAGTTCGGGATTTGTCGGGAGGGAGAACGTACGGCGGAGAAAGGGTACGTACCTGCATTAAATCCCAGGCGGACGAGTAGTTTGGGTAATCTCGTAAACGAGAAGTAAGCGCGGCATTAATCCGTCCGCGCAGTGTCTCGAATGGAAGCGCTGCGCGTTCCCGCTGCGATATTAATAAACCCTTGTCCTGCTGGAAAATGGCGAAGTTACAATAATCCCGGGGTACAGCACATACGTGTGGACAACGCGCGGCGTGTTTGCTATTGTTCTTCCTATCCGCAATCTCTCCGCCCACTTCGAAACGAGCCGCGAAATATTCGACGCCACCTGCGGACGTCCGTCGTTTCCGACGTTAAAAAATTCACGTCCTCCGTTCGCGTGTCGTTCACGTGCGCGGCGTATACGTGCGTACGCGAGTATACGCGTTCCTTTTTTAACGGATTGTTTTCAGCGGTGGTTGCGTCGGAAACGTAGTGGTCGGAAGGGATAAACGGATATATGCCACGGACCCGTCTCACAGCTAATCCGGAAATCCGAAATGCCCGGGAATTTACCGGTGCCGGTTTAAACGTACAAGAGTTTTACGGTCAGCACTGAGTGCCGCTAAAAATTTTGTAGCTACTTCGATTTCGCGGTCTATCCGATTCTCATCGTCTGCGCTTTCATCTAGTCGTAATTATCGTTCGAGAGAATTGCTCGCCCGGTATCTACCTTTCTATCGCACCGCGATCGTATAACATTATCTGTCCGATTCATTGTCCATCCGTCGTTCATCGTGCGATTTACATGTACATTTTCGCGTAGTATCCGACACTTTCATAATTCGCTATGATTTCCATCATTTTCCATAATTTCTGTATTTATGTCATGCTAAATCCGTTGAACGGATATATAGATTTCACAAACATTACACGCGGTTGATTCAAGTCTTTACCAATTATCACGATCGTAACAACATACGTAATTGCGAAACGCGAGTGTTCTCGACGCGACATACCAATTTTAATGCTTCTCGTCGAGTAGTTGACCAGCAACTGAGCACCAGTTCGCGATTCCCATTATCTTTGTCGCTGCTTCATATTGCTGTGCATAAATTTCGTAATATCTTTCAATTATACCGTGCTACCGTTCCTTCGTAATATTAATCGACGATCATGAAAACAAAGCACGAGCCTTAGACGCGCGCTAGCTTTTCACAATTTTCAAGGCTTTCGTTTCATTAAAGTCTTAAACATTGCGAAATATAAAGTGATACTGGACAATATATGCGGCGTGAAATTCTCTATCTTCATGATAATTTTTGTGTAAGACAAGTTTCTGTTATTGATTTTAGAATAAACACTAATATTTTATACATGTAAGAATTTCTATAATTGTATTACTTATGGGAAAATGTAAAATTAATAAATGCGTTTAATTTTTTTACCAATTACTTTAAAAAACTGCTTAAACGCAAGCGAAAAGAAAGTTACATCATCTCTTAATTTTATATACTTATAAAATTTCGTTTAAATTTATAAATTAAAATTGGAGGCGTTTTCTTATTAATAATGTCACGTCTTAAGCGCGAAGTAATTTGCGGTTTTAGTACTTTTTCAATATTGTCTAATTATGAGGGCAGCAGTTCGTTCCCACCGAAGCGTTGTTCGCGACGGCGCGATATTAATCGTCGGCGTCAAGAACGAAGTACGAGCTTCGCTCGTTCGTGGCGGCGTTTCATAATATTCAAGACTTCCGTCTTTCACAAATGCGAGAGAAAGAGAGAGAGAAAGAATGGTGTTCTTTCTCTTTTCCTCCTGAGCCGACTGATATCAGCGAAGCTAAGCACGCGAGCTTTGCGAACGTGCCGCGGACGTTACAAATCAGCGAAATGAGCTTTTAAGTACCAAGACTCGTAAACGCGAGAGGCACGGGCGCGCTTCCGAAGTTGCTGGCCGACGAAAATTCACCCTTACTCCGTATATATCCGCCCTCTCCAACGTGCCGTAATATGAATACAAATTACCCGACGTTCCGAAACTTTTAACTCGCGCCATCGCTTCGTTTTCCCGTCCGCTCCCTTTCGACTCACACTCCGCTCATCCCGCCCGTCTGTCTCTTAAACCTTAACCCCCGCGGGGCACGTGGTTGATGTACCTACCCCGCTAATTGACCCGCACTTATTGTTTCTCGAAACCGCGCGCGAAAGGAGCGCACTTCTGACGCGCTCCTCCGCGCGAATAAACGCCGCGAAGACGAAAGTTGCACGCCACCGAGAGAGCAGAAACGAGATTATTCTCGTGGAAAGTTTGCTGTAGGTTCGCGCAGCCGGTGACGCTAACGAGGCTAACGCCGTTGCACCCGTTTCCGTCGTTTCCGCGCGCGACGTCGACGGACTCCACCGCTATCGCCGACAGGCGCCCCGATCTACGACTTTCTGTTGGACCACGACGACGAGCGTATGTCGAGTTTAATCCTCTCGTCGTCGAGGACGCACGAACGAGAGATAAAGTGGTATAAATCAGATCTTCTTCATTTAGAGAATTTAACTCGCGTCCGGGCGACGTGTTTCCCAAACGCAAGCAGGGCTTTTTCTCCAGAAAAGACATCTCGCGTAAAAATATTACGAGTGTACGTAAATATATTTTAATGTTATGACATCAGAAAATTTTTTAGTCGAGAAAATAGCTCTTGTTTGTATTTTATGCGGAATGCTGACGTGACTCGGATGAAAGCTCTTGTATTGCTGTTTGTAATAGAACCTGGTATTAACTCTTTGCGGTTGTAATCTGGGTTATTCAAGATATTTTGGCAAGTATATCCTAAATATCCCAGCTTAAGACCACAAAGGATTATACGTAAATAATATTCACAGACATAGTTGCTTAAAGAATTATATGATTTCGGGAAATTATAATTTTCGTATTTTCAAATTAATCTAATTTACACATGGTTTATATCACTTTATTTTCACCGGATCGAGTACGGCAGAAAGACTGCACGCTATTTCCGCAATCGCAGATAGTTTTCACTTTACGCGATAAATGTGCTGCTAACATCTACATTTAAATTGCCGAGACATGAATTATAACCGCACGAAATACGACCTATTTATATCCTGTATACTTATATATCTTCCTTTTAAGTTGGATTTAAATAATCTTTTCAAAAAAGAATTGATTTATGCTGCTGGCAGCACACAATGATTGGTGTAATTTAATTCAAATATTTTATAGGAGAACAATAGAGCATGTTGAAAACTAGAGGGCGAATGCATCCTCTTGTATTCGGGGCACAGTCGTAAATAAGTTTATACACAGGCGCAAGTGGAAACTTCAGTGCACGGTGTAAGTGCACTTCGGTGGAACCTATGTACGGCGAAAGGGTTAAAATCATGTGTCGTGAGCAGACTTGCGACTAAATTAATTATTCTTTGTGTACAAATTGTTAGAAGCACCGCGCTGCGTGTAGAAGAATATTCGTGTCAATAAAAAAATAACGTAATAATCTAATCGAAGATACTGCAATATTGTAAAATAACGGACGGATGTAAATGATACGAGAGGTAAAGTAGTACCCGTAATTTAATAACGGAAAAAGTAACGTAAAAAGAGCGTAAAAAGTAGCTACAATGAACACTATGATTATAATTCACAGCAGGAGCTATGCGTACAGTTACTCTCATCAAAGGACTCAGCTCGATATATTCAGCCTGCACCAAAGGCTGAATTAATATGCCTGAGTCACATCGGGGAGAATATCGATATTAATTAAGCTTAACAATGGATATTTTTTGCTTTTTACAAATTAATCTATCCTTTTAGCTTTTCGCGGATGTATGCCTACGCATATTCATCAATCAACTAACTTTCTTTCTTTCTCTGCAAATTACAAGTTTCGATAAATAATGAAAGCTCTTTGAAGTTTTACGAACTTTCCGATAGAAGAGCGTGACATATATATTTGAGCGAATAAATCACGGCTTCGCTTCGCGAACGTTCTCGTAACGAGCAGAACTTTCCTTCGGGAGATACATCAGAAAGGAAGCTCCTCTTTTTTTTCCCCTCCCCATTTCTCTACTAAAACCCTCGATTTTGTCTTGTTCGTTAAATTTCTACCTCGCGAGCCGGGCGCAACGTCTCTAGGCGGAAACGATGTCAACGATACTCATCTTAATGCCTGTTGAACCGGAAGTGCAGGCAAGAGAATGCCTAGGTCCCTAGACTCTCCAGCAAGTAAGCGTAATGAAAACGTATATTACAAGAGAGGAATTTACCTGGCCGTGCTCATACTCATTGTTTTCTTAAAGATTCTTAAGATTCTTTTGCATTAGCAATTTGTCGAATTACTTTGAAACGTTATTAAAGAGTTTTAAGTTCTCGTAACATATTCTTGTACAAACTACTTGTAAGATAAGAGGCTAAATGTCTACAACGTACTAAGGGAGTTCGATAAATGGGGAAGAATATTGTTTGAGCAATTTAATATTGATTTTTCCACGATGGAAATGTCACGGCATTGCACTCGTTTCCAGGATTATAAGCGATTGAAAATCCCGGGGATTTTTCGGTATTAAAGTAGCGCAAATAAAATCCAGAGAAAGAGACAGAAAACGAGATTATATATACATATATGTACATTTTATCATCGTGCCCTACGAAAAAAATATATTGACCCGCACTGCCAATTTATTGTGTCGCAATGCGTGCGCATTTATCATCTGGTTAATATATGCGTACTCACTTGCGCTGGTGCGGATTCTTGAAAAAGAGGGTGATATGATTTACGGTACACGATTCCGTGAGTGGCGCCGCAAATTAAGAAAATTATACTCATGCACAGCATTATTATCATCTGAAATATATATTTAGTATATGTTTCATTTCTACTTAATAAAATATATTATATATTAATTAAAAGTAAAAGAAACACATATTAATGGAAGTAGCATAAATAAATATGCGAGAACAATATACAGAATTGCCCAAAATAAAAGTTATATGTATAAAATAATGTTTTTAGTAACATACTTTGCAACACAATAACGTATCCTTCAAAAATATTGTGTCAAATATATATCAATGATTACATTTCTACATTATTTAAATATGTATATAATTTTAATGCTAATTTTCTATTCCAATAAAAAATATATAGATATATCAGTTCTACTATCTGTCCATTTATTATTTGCTCTCAAATAGCACGTTTAGTTAAACAAGTAAGAAACAAATTAAAATAAAGACATTAAAAAATTAAATAATTACTTAACAAAAAAAATTGCTAATACTATAATAATAATAAATTGTATTAATTTAATCGCAAGAAAAATAGTGCACTTGGAGACGATATTTATGGATATTAGATAAGCGTAAGAAATGCACATAAAAAAATTCCGAGTACGGGAACAATTACTTCTATAGTGCAATCGCTTTCTACGTCGATACTCAAAGTGTCGCGGTCGAACATAGAAGTTTCTGGGGATTTTCACCGTAACGTGGCTGTTTTATCACGCCGTTAAAAATATAGCTAGGATAATACGTCGGTACAGCAATTGGATTTATATTCATCGGGATAGCCGGTGGTCCGGTTTATCAGCAACACAGGAGCACTCGTGCACGGATAAATGGGTTTTTCAGTAGGGAGAAGGGGGATCGCGGCGGAAAGATTCGAGTAGTCGCCAAGAGAGGAAGGAGCGCACGAAGAACGGCGAATGGTAAAGAAAGAAATAGAGCGGGGCTATTACTGTTTCGATCGATGTCATCGGATTCGGGAGGTTGCAACTCCCAGCTCGCTTTTGACGAATTTTCGTTGCTCCGCGATATCTCGCTACCGATCGTAACGCTTGGTTAAATCGAACGTTCGAATTTTGCGGTCCCTGTGACGGGCAGCTTCAGCTGTCAATTTTGCAAGAGACTGTCGATCGCACTTCGTGCTGTTCAGATACCACGAATGTCGAGTTTCGTCCTTTTACGCAGATTACGTAATAGATCGCCTGACGATCTCGCAATCGTGCATCGTATGCATTTCGAGCGGAGTTTGAATTTATAAAAAAAAAAACGCTATCTCAGACTTAGCTGTGCATATAGTAACTTAGTTTGTATAATAGGTATATAAAAGTACTGCACTGAGAAAAAAATACTTAAAAGTTTATTTGTCGAATATACGGTTTATTTCTGTGAAAGAATAAACAAATAAATTTTTAAGTATTTTTTTCTCAGTGTAATATTAGAACGCGTAAAAAATGCAAAACTATTCATTTACTGTATATTAATATAATTGGTATTTATATACGTAGAAAAAGAAGTGATTCTTGTTCTAATAATAGAAAATATAAACAAAGGGGGAAAAAAAGCGTACATTTTTTAGAAAGATCGTAAGACTAATTTGACATTCCGGGACTTCCTAAACTAATTTCTTGTTTGGAAATGAACGGATTAGTCGCCAATTTCCCGGGAGAAATTTTAGCCTCGTCGATCTCGAGCGGCGCTGAGCGCCAACGTATATAATTCCTGAGGAGCTTTGGCTCGAAACTGTTTAATTCAACGTCGTTTACGGAAGTATTAGAACTTTTCAGGTGCATTCGGTCTAACAAGGTTGCAACTTTGCATAATCCTGTTGTCGATGACGAGCGCCTACTATATGCAGAGAAACGAACGAATACGAAGTCAGGGTAGAGCGTAAGACATTAATTATAATAAATTATAAAAATATTATCTTATAATGCAAGAATTTCCCGTTACCCATTATTGTTGTCAATTCTTGATACTTATTAAAAATACTTAATTAAAAAAAATTCAAATATCAAAATGTACATTCACGTATAATATGGAGAGCAAGTAAGAATTTAATTAAATTCCGTCCAATTATATTTTGAATATTTTAAATAAAGATTTACTCTCACAATCAGATTCAGAATATAATAATAAAGTCCCAAAGATACTATTACTGTTATATAGATTGAACATACCTGAGATTTATTAATACAAGCCAATCAAATTGTACAAGTATTTCACTAAAATGGACCGAACGCATTGCTAAAGTTTAATTTAATTAAAATCCAATATTTCTATTAAAAGCCTGTTCTTTTTCGAATTCTGTTATTATTGTTTTAATCATTCAAATTGATATCGTATATAGTTCAAATTTGTATGTAAATTTATACCGCAGATTTATACATTTATCATGATTTTACTGTACATCGAAAATCAACTTTATAAAGATTAATACTTTTCAATCGGCAGAAAATTTTATCTGTGCTTTGATTAGAGCTCTTTTCATCCACTTTGAAGTATTATATATGTCAGGAAAGTGATTGAGGTGAGAGATGATACATTAATAAATTTATATGCCATCGTTTAGTTTAGAATTCTGATATACCATATATCAAACATTATTGTAATCTCTCATATTTCTTATTTACTGGTAGCTAACCGAGTCATGTTTTTCTAGGGCTCCATTGTGCGTAGTAACTTTTCCACGGATTCACTTTTTTGCGAACAATTGTAATTATTCGTTGGTACATATATGCTCCATTTGTAGCCACGTCAATCATGATTTACACGGTAAAAGGATTCGAAAAAGTACGATAAAATGGTGTATTCAGAGTGAAGCGAGCATTAAGCATGTGTCAATGCGCATAAAGTGCCCAAGAAGGCGCACTACTCAAGCATAATGCTAAAAGCACTGCAAATGTTGACACTTTTCACTTGGCATGTCTTTCGTCGGAAACGTCGCTCGTATTCGTCGACTAGTTCCGGAATCATATTTGGAAATGCATTGCGCGCATCCAATTTCTTTTTTCTTTCATAACTAATTTTTATATGCTATCTGAGGATTACACACAAGACATCTCATGTCTAATTTCGAGACTGAACATTTTGTATTATTTTTACATGTTTAAAAAATGACGTCAATGAGAATATTGCGTTATCGAGAATTGATATAAACAAAAAACAATGTTTCCTAAAATCAATATCTTGCTATATTTTTTACTTAATTCTTTTTTAAGTTTTTCAAGTTATACATATAGTCTCGAAACTTGAGGCAAAAATACCTTGTATGCTTTTAAGATTATAGACTTTTTTCGATGCGTAATAACCATAATCACACAATGCACGGACGTAATAGCAGACATCGTCTGTAAGCATGATAAATGCAATATGAGCATCTATCATCCTAGTTAGAAAAAGATATAGTATTTCCTTTCAGTAACAGAAAAAAAATGTAATTCTATTATATCGTAACTAATATAATGGACACAATGGCATATAAAAAAATCGATTAATGTGCGAAGGAAATGAATTGCTTAAACCTCTTAGTCCAAATTGTACGGACATTTGACGAAGTAAAATCTCACCAATGATGAAGAAAAATATTAAATTCATAAATGTTTTTAACCAAAAGCAGTCCCCCATACTTTTAATTTATAAACGATCGCCAGACGAACTACGAAGAACTAGTAAATTCCTAAACGTTGTCGCGAGAAAGGGAGAAATTTTTTAGTGAAGTGCCGGTAACAGAGTATGGCGATCGCGAATTCGGAGCCAGTGAACAGAGAGAACTTCGTTCTGTCGATGCGCCGGAAAAGTGCACCAAAGATGCATGAAGCGGTTGTCGTGTGCATCGGGAGAAAAAGTTTGCGGAGTTTTCTCGCTCGCGGCACGACAAAAGAAAGGTTAGAGATATACAGTAAACACACAGGAGTTACAGATTTATGTGCGGCAAATGCAGCAAGTCGCAAGGATTTCTCCGCGACGCGGACGTTTTAAATGCGTTACTTTGAACAAATCGCGACTTCAGCGTCCCGACGCTATTTACGTTAATTGATAAACGCGATATAGCGTATTTAATTATTGCATTCTCCCGTGCTGCATTCTTTCGCTATATAAATATATGCAAATTCGAATTTCGCGTAGTCGTGGCAATTTGTCTTGCAATTTACGCTTGCATCGCGAGAACAAGCAGTTCTCCTTCTTACGACAAATGATTACGTATTAACTAACGACGAAAACACACGCGAGCGTCATTTCCACATAATATCCATAATCAGCCATCTGCTTTATATTCATATCGACCAGACGGAGGTAAGCACAATATTACACAGATAAAGAGATTATCATGATACATACGTCAATGTCATCTGAACGATAGCAGCGAGTAAATTCGTGATTGCCGCGGTTATAACGAGAGGCGATAGTTAAAAAAATATTAACGTGAGGCCTGATAGCCTAACGATTCACGGCACGCCATTATCGACGGATCGATAGCTTAAGTTTCAATGCGATACATTTCAGTGAGTCGCATTGTCCTCGCCTGTGCGAAAGCAGATTAAGGGGAGCAGATGGGAGCAGGCAAGTGGGACGTGAAGTGGAAGCTAAGCTTTCATTGCAATAGCAAATCCTTCCTTGCCTGCGGCGAAATTGTGTTAAGTAAACATGTCACTATTAGAACTGATCTAACAATAAGTCACGAATATTATCTCTCTTTGAGACAATTCTCCAAGTTCTAAGAACCGATAAACGATTAATTATCGTTAGCGTCCGCAATTGCTAATTATTGAAGTATATTTGCTATTATAGACAACGTCATAAATGTTCATTACTTTCATAAGAAGCTCGAAAATGTTAGTTACGAGATAGAAGACAAAATAAAAATATAATCTTTCAACTATTTATTCGCATATCGACACTGACGTGAGATTCAAATGTTATATAAAAAATCTAAATTTAAATTTTGTGCAATAAATGCAAGAAATTCAAAAATATTTCGCTTTTGTTATGAAGCTTATCAAAACAAAATTTAAAGGAAAACGATTTCAACGTGCATTAGGAAGCAAGTGTGTGTTCTCCTTT